TATCAAAGGCTTCGTTAATCTATGGGTCGCCATCTTGCCACACTCCATCATAAACCAGATAAAGCTGCCCTTTAGCGGACCTTCTCCAAATCAGCGTAACAATTGGTGTCTCTAAGTGGACAATAAATTAGGTTTAGTCCAGGAAATGTCATCTTTCGGCTGACCATTAATAAATCTGTATGCTGAAATAGGACAGCTCCAGGGGGGATATCTGAAATCCAGTATGATCAGGAGTTTTTTTTATGATTGTCTTCAATAACTAATTAAATGATAAAGGTTAAATGATTAAGGACGCTATCCGCTTCTGATAACACACTCAAAGCTGTTCATTCAACGTTAGGCGGTATATATTTAATCCATTAGTGATCATCGTTAAAGTGGGAGGGCGGAGTGCCTTCAAAGGTGTCGTAATGCGTTGTGTAGGATAACGTGCTCGATTTCTTTGATCGCCTTTCCAATCCCAGATTTGATTGATTGGGTGAGCGAGATGATTTTCACGCCGCTTTTAGCAATATTCCAGCAATATTCCAGCAATTCCAGCAATGGACACCAGAAATGTGCTTCACATATTGTGCCCTTGTGGGGAATCGAACTCCAGTCTTTGGCGTGACGAGCGAGTGCTTTAGCCACTGGGCTACCCCACCGCCCCTTTGGTTAATGATGACCTAGTTCGTAATTAACATAACGGTGGATTTTACCTATGAGACAAAGTGTAAAATCAAGTTGCTTCTAGTGATTCGCTGACATGACCTAAAAGGGGTGACTCCCTGACTCACTGACTCATTGACTCACTAACTTACTCACTCACTTTAAATGTTGATACCAAAGGCGACAAAAGGAAGGCACGGTTATGTTTAAGTTAGGCCAGACACATCGTTATAGATTACAATGTTATCTCTGTCTACATCCGGGTTCTAGGAGGTCTTCTCGTTGGTGTCCCATTACATTACGTGTATGAATATTTCATGTAATCAAATTGGATTTTGCGGAATGAGATACTCGGTGCAGCCTTATCGCTTTAGATTCAGAATACCAGATTCAAGACACTTGAAAGTAAATGTTGCCCCTACATGTCCCTCATGTACCTGCCAAATTTAAACACACCAATAAGTGAAACCTTCCTGAACAGCTTTTATTTGACAGGTCCGAGGAAACCATTTTCCACTGATGGGTCTGCAGTCATTTCCCTTATACGAGTCATAGATCATGCGACAATTTGGCTTTGTTTGTTTGTTTGTTTATGTGCTTGTTCAATGCCGTACTCAGCAATATTCATTTGTATCAAAAGTATGATAACATATGTAATGATAGTTTTAAGATCATGCATCGAATAACGACATAATATTACTCTGATTGAAATCTGAAACGTCTCTCCCTCCCTCTCCCTCAACAATTCTCATCTCAAACCAAAAGGAGCGGAGGGGTAGCCTAGTGATTAAAGCGTTCGCTCGTCACGCCGAATGCCCGGGTTCGATTCCCCATATGGGTACAATGTGTGAAGCCCTTTCTGGTGTACCCCGCCGTGATATTGCTTGAATATTTCTAAAAGCGGTGTAAAACTAAACTCACTCACCCACTCTCTGGTTTTACAGCTGATGCCGAAAACCTAGCTAACGCCCCGTATCTGAATGATTCGATCAATTCCAGCATTAAATCCAGATACGAAATCCTCAAGACAAACCTATTCGACGTGTTCCAAATAGAGTAGTTGTTCACGCATACATCAAAGAAAGCCAGTTTGGAATTATCTGTAAATACTATCAGGTATACGGAAGCACAGAATATATGTTGAACTGTTTTAAATAGTTTTAGCGTAAGCTTTTGCGAATACCAGAGAGCATCACTTGTTTATCAGATATTGATTCATCTTCGGATAATGGAAATGGGTATTTTCTGGTGCCGACGTTTAATTCTATATTTGCCACAATACACCCACCTGAAATAAAACGGCTCTACAAAAAATAAAATTCGACCTCGTCTTAATTTAACTTGCCCTTTGCATACTTATAATTTTATTTTCAAATATTTCTTAATAAACACATACACTCTCTCAATCATCAAAGTACTGACATCTCCATCTTTATTGTAATAACAGAAATTTCGAAATTTCGAAATTTCGAAATTTCGAAATATTCATTCAGAGTAATATTAATATGTACCTGAAGACATCAGTCTGGTAAGTAAAGTATGTTGCATTAACTCATGGATGATTACAAGTTGGAAATACGATGAACCGCAAATCACTCACTCACTCACTAATTCAAACCAAAACTCACCCTCAATTTTCAACTCACCCCACAGAAACATATCCCCTTCCCCAGCCAAGTCGTTCAACCCCATCCCCTGGAAATCATCTCTTACATCCCACACAAACCATTCCATATAATGCACCTAGTTAACGTTTGCATTACGCAATCTATTTCTGAAAACATTAATTCTGCAGGAAAACACAATTATGTCCACTCAGCAGATTCTGCCAGAAACTGATTGGCAGATGCCAGCAGTCACTCGTTAAACAAACACATATTCCCTTGTGCACAATACATGTATTGACTCGTCAGATCTTCACAGGTAATGGAGTCGGATCGGCATGACTTGCGCAATACTTGATGACATGATGTCTGAAATGCTGAGGCTTGAGGATGGGTCGTGATTAGAGCATTCACAGCCAATCATATTGGAATATATGTTTGTGTGAGTAAGGATGACTTTGAAAATAATTGGTTTGCCGCAATATTCCAGCTACATGACGGCGGTTAATACATGATCCAATCTGGACTAGATAATCCAGTGATTGACATCATGAACATCGATCTACGGAATTGGGATCAACGGACACACATCAACCAACGTCAGTCGCCTCTAAAGACAAGCATGGGTTCTTGAAGACCAATTCTAATCCGGGTCTTCAAGTAATACCATTCGTTGCCACGTTGTTGTTGAGTCAGTTTGTTTTGCAGAGTTCTATACTACAATAGAGTGGATCTTTGTTCTGTGGATTGATCCTAAATTCGTAAGATACGAGTAACGGAATCGCGTGGTGAGCTTCACCGACTTGGTTGACACATGTCATCGTATCCCAATTGCATAGATCGATGCAGATGCTGTTGATCACTGGGTTGTCTGGTCCAGGCTTGATTATTTACACACCGCTACCATATAGCTGGATTATTGGAGTGCGGCGTTAAAAAATAAATATTTTAATCACGCCGAGAGCCAACTTACAATATCCTTAGGAAAGAGAAATGTTAACTGACAATCTCTAGGTAATCTATTTACATGGGGGTGGCCCAGCCATGACGGAAATCCTTGTCCGATTCTCCGAAAAAGTTCAACTGTTTGCGTTTCCATTCATTTGGATATTGTGAAACGTTGCATAATCACATAGTCACTTGCATAACCAGCTTGAAAGAGTCCTCAAGATTGTCTTCTATTGTCAATCTATAGAGTTATATGTATGGTCCTGTGGATACTAGCTGAAGTACTTTCATATATGTATAAATAGAGAGAGACACTATTGATTTTCCTAATGGGTTGTTACAATCTAACACACCCATATTGATCGGATCACAGTGCAGGTCAGTCGGTTGTAATTACTAAGACATAAATATATAAATAAACCAGCAAATTACACTCATTGACTCACTCACTCACGCATAACTTGTTACCAACCAACGCTGCCTCTCACTAGTTGCCTTTAAGTCACGCTTTGTTTCTTACTGACTCGCTCATTGAATTTCCTAATCATTCACACATTGCCGCATTCATTCTCATGGCATCGTTCACTCATTAACTCCCATTGCATCGTTCACTCATTCACTCCCATTGCATCGTTCACTCATTCAGTCTCAATGCCTCTCTCTCACTCGACCGTCGCCATGTAGCTGGAAAATTGATGAGTAAACTCACTCACTCACTCTCACTCATTCACATCATCATTAATTCAGTCTCATTAACTTACGCTCACTCACTCACGCACGCTGCCTCTCTCACTTCATCTTTCATTCGTTGCTTCACGCCCGTAAAGATCCGAGTTAAAATTGGTCCACCGGATCCCGTTAGTCGCCTCTTACGACACGCATGGGTTATGTGTGGATCGGGTGGTCAGGATCGCAGACTTCCTTGACACGTGTCATCATACAGAAATTTCGTAGAACGATGTTCATGCAGTTGATCAAGGGTTTGTCTGATCCACATCGATTATTTACAGATCGCCGCCATATAGCTGGAATATCGCTGAGTGCGGGGTTAAACAACGAACAAACACACACGCATATCTCTCTCGCTCACTCAACTTACTCACTCACATTAGTTCTCTCTCTCACCCTTGCCCATTCACTATCACTGCCTCACTAACTCATCACCTCTTAGCTTACACATTACCTCCCAATCACGTTTGCCTTGTCGCCCTGACTCATTCTCTCTATCACTCACTCACGCGATGCTTCGCTCAATCATTAATTGTCTATCACCCACCGAATCATTCACTCAATGTCTCTCTCTTTCTCTGGGCGGTGGGGTAGCCTAGTGGTTCAAGCGTTGGCTCGTCAAGCCAAAGACCCGGGTTCGATTCCCCACATGGGCACAATGTGTGAAGCCCATTTCTGGTGTCCCCCGCCATAATATTGCAGGAATATTGCTAAAAGCGGCGTAAAACTAAACTCAGTCAGTCAGTCAGTCTCTCTCTCTCACACACACACACACACACACACACACACACACACACACACACACACACACAACCCCTCGTTATTGCGTCCCATCACCCATGCATCGCTGTATACCCTAATTCATTTATGATATTTAATTACCTCCTTACAATGTACCTCCACATCATCCCGAAAATCAGCTTGATGCCATAATGTTCCAGAACACTTATCAAACAAGAGCAAAAACAACAACTATGTTTATAATACAAACAATAACATCAGCAGCAATAGCAACAGTAGCCAAAACATAGTTGTTTATGTTACCACATATTGATCAGATTAAATCGGAACCCCACAGCGTCTCGTATCACATCATCCCTAGACCTTATCCAATGCTTAACCTTACCCCAACACCACTACAGGCGACGCCCGTGTATTCCGTCGCTTCCTATAATCAATCTCCAACGCCAAAAGAGGGCAGTTAGCGCTACTTATTTCCGAGACTGAAGTGATGTGCTGTCGCAACAGAACATTCGTGGGAGCCATGTTATAGAGGAAGCACACCGTCTACACGTGCTTAGAAAGGAAGGATGTGCTCAGTTCTGGGGCAGGTGTCTACATCTTGACGGTGATTGTCAAATGGGTTATTACAACTGACGATTGATCTGGTTTAAGTTACGATGGAACCAGTGGTTATGAATTCTTGAACATTTTCTGTGTAAGGTGTTCCTGAGGTATTGAGAAGCGCTAAAGAACGAAGGTAAGCTAATGTGAAATTACCCTCTTGTCTACTTCATATGATACCTTAATTGAATATGGCTTCTGACTTAAAGGTCGTCAAATGATGACTTGTTATGAAAGCACGATGCTTGTGTAAATAATGGAAATGTATTGATGGTAGATAAACAAGTGATGTGAACGCAGAAGCATCATGTATGCATCTAAAATATGCAATCAGTTTATGTATGTTTGAAAGTAAAATGATGTTATTGTACAAAATAAACATACAATGTTGTCATTGAAATGTATCTATAAAACGGTGCTGTATAAGACATGAAATTGTATCGGGATATCAATCACAAGTTGATATTATGTTATTTTCACTTCTTGGAGAGCGATATCAGACACCAGAGCAGTGCTAAGTATATGATGAAGGGTTTCTATTTTGCAGTTTTCAGTGTTTTATTCCTATTCTGATTACACGTTTGCGTTAAATTCTTTCACCGTTGTTGATACAATTCTTTTGAATTGCTTCACCTGTGTGAACAAATTGTTTTAGATTCTTCAGAGTTTTGAATATAACGGACAAACAATGAGGTTGCGTATGGAACTTGAGAGTTCCGTTAGTGAAGACCATATGAAAGATTAAGCCCTTGTTTATGTATCTTGTATAACAAAGTACCAAAACTTAAAAAAGGACAATTTGATGCATCACAAAGATGTTAATCAACAGAATGTTACAAGAAAACAACGGTTTCTTTCTGAAGATGATGAAAGTGCCATGGGTATATGTAAACACAAAATATTGACTTTATCTTGGTATTGTTTACCAACAGGGAGGTTCTCAGACAAAGTGTAAAATATATCAATTCATCCGTAGTGTACACGATAGCTGAGGTTGTTGGGGGCGACATGGCGGCGTCTACAGCCACTTGCGACGTTGTCATTGGCGTAGTTCTTGGAATACATCTGCTTATTCATAAAAAATTATATATTTTCCTTAGAGAACAAAAGTGAATATGTTGCAGACACTTGTTGAATATTATGGTAAACATGTAGTAGGGTATGAAAAACTCATTAATACAGAAAACATAGACATATATTCCTCAGAGTAAACAGATTAAACTGATGTAGAGATATGGTGAATATCATGGTAAACATTGATATCACGAATGTTGTAAGTTGAATCACGTAAGATGTAATACGATCATTTTCCTGTGTATTCTGTATATGTGTTATTTAGTCTAACTGTTCAAATATGAAGGCACCTGGTTATGTCCCTTGTTTTGCATGAAGCACACTTGTTTGATGAAATCACATTTGACTGGACAGTTTTACATAAGAGAATAACTGAACAAAAATTAACTTTGAGTTAAATATGCAAACAGCTTTTGCATCAAAAGGTTGATCTGTTTTCCTCATTTGTGAAGAAGATTGACATTATGTTGACGTCATTGTGCAATGACGCTTCGCACCAAAATTACAATGCAACCATTATCATTATCATCATCGTCGTCGTCGTCGTCATCATCCTCGTCATTTAATGAACGGCACGTTGGGTTAGATAAGTGGTTAAAGCATTCGCTCGTCTCGTCGAAGGCCCGGGTTCGATTCCCCACATTGGTACAATGTGTGAAGACCATTTCTAGGTCCCCCAGTGTCTCCCGCCGTGATATTGCTGGGATAAAAGCGGCGTAAAACTGAAAACTCACTCACTCACTCATGTAATGAACGGAGATGGTTGCCATTATGGTATACGATAACCACCAAGTTACGACGGAAGTATATCGAGAACATTATCCCGCAGTTACATTCAAACCAACGATCCTGGGAGACCAAAGGGACGCAATTTTTCAACACAATATTTGTCCCCCAGGAAGGGATAAAGTGTCTTTACAAGAAGACGTAGGGATTATATGTAATGAATAGACAGATGTGTCTGAATTCTGCACTATGGCAGTGTTATTGTCGGGGGGAATATTTACTGCTGTAAAGAGTGTCTCAGAGACATTAAACACATGGCACAGAATGTCACCAGATTTACGTCTCGGAAACGCCTCCAACATGGTGGGTCTCATTAGGTCTTTGAAACTTTTCATTACTGGAAGAGAAACAATGACATTTCTCATGTACATCTTCTTTTTAACCATTTGGCTTGCAAGCGTGACATTCCATGAAGTCAATTTTCCAACTGCAAAATCAGTAAGTACTGCTGAACTGCTTAACTTGTAATTGGGTAACATGGTGGAGTGGGAGAGGATTACGGTGAGCTGTATGTGTTTAGTGTTCTATGTGCGTGTGTGCGCGCGTGTGGTATATACGCGTGGTGTATGTGTGTGATGTGTTGTGTGGTGTAGGATGTTGTGTATGTGTGTGGTGTATGCTGTGGTATATGTGCGTGGTATGTGTCGGTTATGTATGTGTGTAGTGTATTGTATGCATGGTTCTGTGTGTGGTGTATGCCGTGGTTTATGTGCGTGGTATGAGTGGGTTATGTATGTGTGCGTTGTAGTGTATGCGTGGTTCTGTGTGTGGTGTATGCCGTGGTTTATGTGCGTGGTATGTGTCGGTTATATATTAGTGTGTTGTAGTGTATGCGTGGTTCTGTGTGTAGTGTATGCTGTGGTATATGTGCGTGGTATGTGTCGGTTATGTGTGTGTATGGTGTATTGTATGCGTGGTTCTGTGTGTGGTGTATGCCGTGGTATATGTGCGTGGTATGAGTCGGTTATATATGTGTGTGGTGTATTGTATGCATGGTTCTGTGTGTGCTGTATGCTGTGGTATATGTGCGTGGTATGAGTCGGTTATGTATGTGTGTAGTGTATTGTATGCATGGTTCTGTGTGTGGTGTATGCTGTGGTATATGTGCGTGGTATGTGTCGGTTATGTATGTGTGTAGTGTATTGTATGCATGGTTCTGTGTGTGGTGTATGCTGTGGTATATGTGCGTGGTATGAGTCGGTTATGTATGTGTGTTGTGTATTGTATGCATGGTTCTGTGTGTGCTGTATGCTGTGGTATATGTGCGTGGTATGAGTCGGTTATGTATGTGTGTAGTGTATTGTATGCATGGTTCTGTGTGTGGTGCATGCTGTGGTATATGTGCGTGGTATGAGTCGGTTATTTATGTGTGTAGTGTATTGTATGCATGGTTCTGTGTGTGCTGTATGCTGTGGTATATGTGCGTGGTATGAGTCGGTTATGTATGTGTGTGGTGTATTGTATGCATGGTTCTGTGTGTGGTGTATGCTGTGGTATATGTGCGTGGTATGTGTCGGTTATGTATGTGTGTGGTGTATTGTATGCATGGTTCTGTGTGTGGTGTATGCTGTGGTATATGTGCGTGGTATGAGTCGGTTATGTATGTGTGTAGTGTATTGTATGCATGGTTCTGTGTGTGGTGCATGCTGTGGTATATGTGCGTGGTATGAGTCGGTTATGTGTGTGTGTAGTGTATTGTATGCATGGTTCTGTGTGTGGTGTATGCTGTGGTATATGTGCGTGGTATGTGTCGGTTATGTGTGTGTGTAGTGTATTGTATGCATGGTTCTGTGTGTGGTGTATGCTGTGGTATATGTGCGTGGTATGTGTCGGTTATGTGTGTGTGTAGCGTATTGTATGCATGGTTCTGTGTGTGGTGTATGCCGTGGTTTATGTGCGTGGTATGAGTGGGTTATGTATGTGTGCGTTGTAGTGTATGCGTGGTTCTGTGTGTGGTGTATGCCGTGGTTTATGTGCGTGGTATGTGTCGGTTATATATTAGTGTGTTGTAGTGTATGCGTGGTTCTGTGTGTAGTGTATGCTGTGGTATATGTGCGTGGTATGTGTCGGTTATGTGTGTGTATGGTGTATTGTATGCGTGGTTCTGTGTGTGGTGTATGCCGTGGTATATGTGCGTGGTATGTGTCGGTTATGTATGTGTGTAGTGTATTGTATGCATGGTTCTGTGTGTGGTGTATGCCGTGGTATATGTGCGTGGTATGTGTCGGTTATGTATGTGTGTAGTGTATTGTATGCATGGTTCTGTGTGTGGTGTATGCTGTGGTATATGTGCGTGGTATTTGTCGGTTATGTGTGTGTGTAGTGTATGGTATGCATGGTTCTGTGTGTGGTGTATGCTGTGGTATATGTGCGTGGTATGAGTGTCGGTTATGTATGTGTGTGTGTAGTGTATTGTATGCATGGTTCTGTGTGTGGTGTATGCTGTGGTATATGTGCGTGGTATGAGTGGGTTATGTGTGTGTGTAGTGTATTGTATGCATGGTTCTGTGTGTGGTGTATGCTGTGGTATGTGTTGGTTATGTGTGTGTTGTGTATGTGTGTAGTGTATGCTGTGGTATATGTGCGTGGTATGTGTTGGTTATGTGCATGTGGTGTCTGATATGCATGGTTCTGTGTATTGCGTGTGCGTGCGCACGCGCGCCTGTGTGTGTGTGGGGGGGGGGAGGAGCGTTTGCTCTTGATGTGCGTGTATTTTCCTTCTGCTGTGTTGTATGTTTTGAGTTTGAATGTGCGTGCGTGCATGTGTACGTGCGTGTGTGCGTGCATGTAAGAGTGTGATGTGTCGTTTGTGTATATATCTACGTTTGACTGCTTCTACTCTCCAAGACTATTGCTATGTTTACAGTTTTAGCCCACAGGTACACCGTGTCATATCCAGTTTCAAATGTTTGAATGATGTATGCTGTGAAATGGTTTCATGCTGTCATCAAACCAACATGTCGTATACTCTGCTATGTGGGATCGTCGCCGTGGTCAAGTGGGTAGAACCTCCTCTCAATGAGCTGGAGGTCGATTGTTCAATCCCCAGCCGTGGCTTACATTAAAAGAACACACCTCTTAATACCTTGCCTATTGCTCGGCAGCAAGGCCATAACACAAGAGTGTCTGCCTGGAGAGATATTACTTTTATCATTAAAGACATAAAATTAGTCGGGTCGGGGTTAGTCTACTGTGTCTGAATGGAATATCATTGTCAAAACTGTTGCATGGTATCTCAGTGGGAAAGACGCTATAAAACCAGTATAGGGAGATCCC